TGAAAGATGTTGAATCATGATTTTCGTAAAAAAACTTTCATAGGTGCATAGATTTTAAACGCAAGATAACTTTTATGCATTAGCAATAAATATTTTTTTAATATAGTTAAGCATAAACTATAGATTATATATTATAAAACGAAATAAGAGTGATAACAATATGCTATTCCAAAGCTCGAAGTAAAATGGTTGAAGAAATGGTCTTTTAAGGTTAAGGTTAAAGTTTCATGTGTAGAGTAATGTGGGGTACACTTTTTATACCTCCGTGGAGTGGAGATCTACTCCATATAGTTACAAAAAAAATAAAATAAAAAAATATCAATAAAAAATAATAATAACGATAAATACAACCACTATAATTATTATAATCGTCACATATATATATATATATATATATATATATATATATATATATATATATATATATATATATATATTCTATCATATATAAAAAAAACCGCGCGTTTATAAAAAAAATGTAATATATACATAGAATTTAAGTGTTAGCCAATAAAATACAAGCAAAAACCATTTATGTTTGAGTGCGGTTGAATGACATAAATACATAAATAAAATTATTTTTAACAATCAGATTTAATATTTGATTTCTTGCGCATTAAAACAAAGTGAATAAGGTGAATCTATTGAATAGCATTAGATAGTACATCATATATATTTCGAATACATAGTGCATTGAACAGTACTGTACATTGAAAACATAGTGCATTAAACTTGAATAGTATACTGAATAGTATACTGATGAATAGTTTATTATACTGAATAGTTTATTGAATAGTCTATTGAATAGTACGTATACTGAATAGTCTATTAATAAATATTAAATAATACTTGCTTAGTGTAAATTCTAGACAAACAAACGCGCGTTTACGTAGTTAAATTATCATTCTGAAAATTTTGAACTGTATACCATAAATAAGTTTTTTTTTTTAAATAATGCTTAATTAGATAATGATGCTATACTTGGAATTGTTGTGAATGATATACGAAAAATGCAATCTTTTGATTTATCTAGCATAACTTGCAGATGTGGTTGTCCATTGTATGAAAATAATTGGTGTTACGATGTCTTTAAATAGATTATTATCATATGAAGAGACTGTGAATATTCTTACTATAGCCATTAATAATTAATTTCATTGCTTGCAAGGGTACTCTTGAACCGTGCGTTAGATCATAGATTACAAGGATAATTTTATGAATATTGTTATATATCTATTTGTCTATTGGAAGCATCTTCGAGACCCGAAATTTGATATTGTTTTTCTCTCCTTACAGAGGATGTGTTTTAATGTACACTAAAGGTGTCTAGAAGGGGATTTTAATCAAGAATGGTTAAATGGCGCGTTTTTAAAGGTAGGGATGGAGCCCCGGCATCCAGAACCAACAAACATCGTATTTTTTTGCTACAAAGAAAACCACAGAGAAAAATTTAACCGAAAAAAGAAAGTCTAATTGTGGCGTACTTAATTGACAAAATCTATTGTAACACTTTAATACTTTAATACAGTAAAAATATACCAAACTACTATGTCATGTGAATGTGGAAAAAAAAACATTATTCATTTATTTGTATTGTTTCTCTTTTTGCGAATCAGGTTTAGGATGTGTGGGCGTTGCAAATGTAGTGGCCCAATCTAGGTTTTTTTTTCTACTGGCTATCTTTCTTTTTTTTTTTTTTTTGTGTCCTTCAGCCCATTCGTTCTTGATGATGAATTACGCCGAAAATATAATGTACACAACATGTCATCGTTATTCCGACCTATTAATTTCATTAATTTCATGTTTTACTCATAATATATGCTATCACAATTTTTTCTTGTGGTCTTCTACTGCGTAGTTTTTAATACCACTTACTTGCTGCTTTGTTTACGATCTGTTGTTAGAATAACATATACCATGAAATCTGTATGATTATAACTGTGGAAAAGCTAAGAGTGTGCCACAGCATAATAAAGGGAAAAACGTAACTATTTTTATTTATATTTTTTTTAAATTAATTCATATTAAATTCATCCAAAAATTATTTATGCTATATTACTGTAATGCTAAAAAACACACCTCCTTGGTACTATAAAAACTCGTCAAACAGTATGAAGAGCACAAAAAATGTTTTGCAACGTTTGCACATCATCTTTCGTGTCACCCTATTTTTCTTAAAATTTTTGAAAGATTACACACTGTTTCCCCGTACAACGAAAATATTACTTGAAAAAACGGACACTCTCCGACCTAATTTGTCTTAGAAAAAAAAAAGCGTCATATTAAATTATTTCTGTTCTGTGCTTCACATGAATAAATTAAAGTTAGTTTAATCGTTAGGCATCTACTGCTAATCATGATTGTATTTAAAACATCTGCATATATATATATATGTATATGTATACATATATATGTTTATATATATGTATATATATGTATGTATACACACATATATATATATTTTGTATATATATATATATTATTATATTAATTTAAAAAAATTTTTTTTTTTTGTACAAATTGATGTTTTTTTATTATTATTTATATAATATATGAACTTACTTTATACTATAATTTATTTTACGCTATACATATGTATAAATATACATATATAACTTAATTTATATTTTCTTTACTGTTATTTTAATATATTAGCAGCCCCTATGCTTCTGCTTTTTTTTTTTTTTTAACCCCCAATTTTTTTTTCTTTTCATCATTAGAAAACTCATTCGGTTCCCAAAAAAAATTTTTTTAATCTTATAAATTATTCTTTTCACACGAGACTTTTTTTTTATCAAACCAAACTTTGAATTTTTAATGGGTCCAGAAAAATAATAATATAAAAAAAAAAAAATCCCTTTTTGTCATTTAGCTGAAATCTTACAAGTTGGTGTTTTTTGTTTCAGGTTTTACGTCAGATATATATACTCATAAGGTACAACTCTTTTTCAAACCTTACCTTGATATTTTTACTAGTAGAATTGGGAATTTAGAATTCCTAAGACCTTAGGCCGAAATTTTTTTTTTTTTTTTACGAACAGGGTAAATATCACGAAATAAAATCCCATCGACGGAATGATAGCAACGTACAGTCAACCATCTTCTTTTGCACATCAACATCAAAGTTCCGAAACATTTGAAGATATCAAGAGTAATAATTCTTCAAATCTTCATGGAACTTTAAGCATTGTTAAAAATTGTGACAGTCCATATAACAATTGTGCTATTCAAGCAAGCTTGAGCGAACAACCTCCACAACACGTTCAACCATCCACTGGGTCACGTCAACAAACTTTTGGCTCCTCGACAGTAAGGCATTATAATAATAATAATATTCGAACATCTTCTTCATTATCATCGTCAAATACGTCAACGAATCGCAATAACTTTAACGATACTCAAATTTTTACAACGGCTTCAACAACGACGGAGCAACATCAGTTTTCATTTGCAAATTCTCGCAGTGGATGCAACAACAATAATCGTTCAAATTCCAAAAATATAAATATGTGTCATAATATTGGCGGCTTGAATTTAAAAGAAACTAATGATTGGACCAAAAATAATACAAATGATTCAACAGAATTAAAATATTGTGATATTCTTTTCGAGAATGTGGATTTTCCTCCAAAAAAGTCTCATTGTGCTGATAATAATGAAAATAAGGATGATGACTTAGATGATTCGAAAAAAGATCCTTTGGGGACTTCAAATTGGCGCCTTTATACAAAGGCAAAAGATGCTTTACCTAACGGAATACGTCTTGAAAATATTACTTGGAGAATGATGTTTCTCGCTTCAAAATCAAAGAATTCTGAACGAACAAAGAATAATCTCCAATCTCTTAATGACTCGAATGCGATTATTCCAACAAATATTTCTATATTAGGTGACACTTTCACAAGTAATACTAATAGACAATATAAAAATTCTGTTAAGAAGTCCAACGTTAATGACATTTCTATTCGAGACAAGTATGTTAAATATTTCTAAAATTTTTTAATTATCTTGAATTTATTTTAAGTATTAAATAAAATTTTATTATAATAGAAGTATAAGTAGCCTGAAAGATGCTGACAATACGTTATTAAGTTTAGATATGGATATGGATGATTCGCTTAACAAAATTGACCATCATTTGAATGTGGATATGGACCAAGATGATTACAATTCAATGCTTGATGATCACATTCATGCTCCCTTTGTGATGTCTCCCACAGATACTAGTGCGAGTAATACGGATGATAATCTTTCCGTCTATAATTCAACTCCTTCTCCTGTGCTCACATCTTCTACTATTCCGGCCATCCCAATTCCTGTGTCCTCTGCTTCAAACAACTATAACCTTCCTTTAACAACGTCTCCTACGAATTGTCCTTTTGAATTCATTACTTCTGAGGGACTTAGATTTACAAGCCCACAAAATTTAAAGAGGAATTATATGAATTTTCCTGGAAAACCTATAATGTATACTCGTTCCTTTGCTATTCCTGTACCTCGATCTCAAATTTTCAATTCTACTGGTACTCATGGATTAAATTCTAAAAAGGTGTGCATAAATATAAAATTATTATTAATTAATAATTAATAATAAATATTATCATTATATATACTGAATATATTATGTAATATATATTGTATTATGTATATATTTTTCTACATTATATATATATATTATCTTCTATATATATATATATATATATGTATCATTTATATTCTATATTTCAAATATATTTCAAATATTTTATTAATCTATTTATTTAAAATATTTTATTAATCTATTTATTTAAAATATTTTATTAATCTATTTATTCATTTATTTATAATTCTTTTTAAAAATATAGACGACATTAAAACCGCATCAAATCTTTCCATCACCAATATCGAGTATAACAATACCGAGCGATACTGCTGATGACTCAGACGTGGAATTACCTGAATCAATATCTTCATCAGCGACAACTGCATCTACCAATACACAGTATACATTAAATACTTTCAATCCCGCCTTTGATCAAACATCACTTGACTACCCTAGTTCCTTAATAAGTTCATCAGCACCAATATCACTTCCGTGATTGAAGTCGGGAAAGTAAACACCTATATTATCGGCAGATGTAAGAGGGGTG